TTTTGCCCCATTGGGTACCTTCTTAACAAAGACCTTTTATTTATAATGGCCACGACAGAAAAAATCCTGAATGTTCATCACCTGGAAGATAATGAGCTGCATGGTTTCATGTTCTCCTGTTGGTTCAATCAATGAAAATCACTTCACATTTCATAAGTACAAGGTTTCAGTCTGCTTCGGTTTACTACCAGGTTAAAAGTATGCATCACCTACGTTTACTCTTACTACTGCATATTTTAGCCACTTCCTTCCCTCCATTTTGAAAAGATGCATTTAAATATTTATGGACTTTTTTTTTTAAGTTCTTAAAAACTAAGGGTAGCCGTGATAAATTGTGACTTTGTAACGCTTTCTTTTGAAAAGCAAACTTTGTGCCTGCCTACATGTGTTTAAGGGATTTGAACAGAGACCCCACTTTTTCACTTGTCTTCAGAGAAAAAAAGGCTGTTGGCAGCCACATTTCTAACAGAGTATCCTTTAAAACTGAAAATGATTTTAAGCAATTATGGAAACTATCCTCAAAGAGGCAAAAGTTATTTTTCTCGAGGCTTTTCACACACTAGTTTTTCACATGCTAGTTCCCATATTCTAGTGAAAATACAGAAGTGTTTTCAATAATTCTGTTCTTTACCATTAGGCTGTGAATGTTCACAATACCTGTCCCTTTGAATTCCTATGAGGAAATCACAACATGTATATCATTCATATTCTAGGAATGATAAAAGAATGTATGGCTCTTTATTCTATGGAAGTAAAGTTCTGGAAGTTTACAACTCTTGTACATAACTGTAAATTGTTTTTCTTTCTTTCTTTGGTAAAGAAAAGTTTGCTTGTATTCTTCTCCGTTTTCTCTCCTGTTTTGTGAATTGTGGGAAAGGTCGACAACGCAAATGTGTCAAAGACTTACACTGCTGGGTGCAATATTAGCAATTGTAAAATGCAAATTGCTTTGGATAAATTATTTCTATATTCTGTAAATCAGATTTAATGTATATTTTTGTTTAAAAAATAAATGCTTTAGTAAAATCTTTGGAAAGGATATTTCAAGTAGGGTATGTGACAGAAGAATCTAGGTCTGCAAGGTTTCTAAAGAAATGCAGGGGTCCTTTGGTGAGAAATACAAGTTAGGGGCAGGGTATTGAGTATTAGGGGAGAAGCTACTGAGAAAAGGCCATTAGACTTGAAAGGCGGTGGGTATGGATTTATAGTTGGCAAGACCAATTGTGTCCAGGGAGGGTGGATCTTAGCATACTTAGATGAGGCACGATTTTTTAAAATGACCTAGGTTCTGAAACCAGAATAAAAACATAGGTAACTTTCCACCTATGGGGCTGGGAAGTGAGCAAATGATCAAAGGGGAATCAGGATGCTGAAGGGCAGGAGAGCAGAGGAGGCAGACCTGAGGCTTGAGTCTGGGAGGGCTGAATGGGCTGAGCCAGCTGCAGTACAGGCAGGCAGCTCCCAGACAGTGACCCCACTAAGGAAATGGGACTGTGACACAGAGAAGGAGGTTCTTCTCTGCAGGAAGACATCGGTGGGGGGCTTCTTTGGGAGGCACAATTGCCCAGATGACAGTTTCAGCCTAGGGGTGCTTTATATGGTGCGAAATCAGGACCTGCCTCTTTCCTATTCCACAACTGACAGTCTCCTGGAGGAGAACTTCATGTCCGGATCTTTGGAAATGGGGTAAAAGGAGATGGGACAGATTAGACTCTGCAACAGAAATTGTATGAGGAAAAGTTCTGAGCAGACCTGGGAGATAATCCCTCAAAAAAAGAAAAAAAAAAAAGGCCACTTTTCTTCCTAGGATGTCCTGTATTTAAATTGGTTGAGGAATATACTGTTTTAATCAAAGAGCACCACCTAAAGGTTCATACTGATGATCAGTACCAGAAACTCCAATAATGATATCCAGTGGGGATAAAATGGCTCTAAAGAGGCTCCAAGGTGATAGCAAAACATACCTTAATGGAGTCTGTATTTTAAGTTGTTGCCTTCATGTGATGTGGATGAAGCTTAGTAAAACTGTAAGACGGTTTCTCAAAGTCTTATCAGAATCTGCTTGGAAGTTATAGCTACAATAAAGCTTCTGGTGCATTTATAATTACAAAAAGGCCTATGAAAACACTGTAAAAATTGACTGTCTTGACTTAAATAGACATTTCTTCGAAGAGGATATATACACGGCCAACAAGGGTATAAAAACGTCCTCCACATTAGTCATTAGGGAAATGCGAATCAAAACCACAGTGAAATACCATTTCACACCCACTAGGATAACTATAAAAAAAAGGAAGGGCACCTGGCTGGCTCAGTCAGTAGAGCGTGCGACTCTTGATCTCAGGGTTGTGAGTTCAAGCCCCAAGCTGGGCTTGGAGCTTACTTAAAAAAAAAAAAAAAAAAAAAAAAAAAAGTGTTGGCAAGGATGCGGAGAAACCGGATCCCTCGCCCACTGCCGGTGGGAATGTGAAGTGTTGCACCCACTGTTGGAACAGTTTGGCAGTTCTACAACAGGAACAGAATTACCATATAAACACAATTGTCCCAAGTAGGTATATATATACCCCAAAACCTTGAAAATAAGCACTCAGATACCTGTACATGAATGTTCACAGCAGCACTTACAACAGCCAGAAAGGAGAAACAACCTAAATGTCCATCAACAGATGACTGGATACACAAGGGATTTACATATAATGGAATATCATTTAGTCAGAAAAAGGAATAAGGCTCCTTCAAGATGGAGACATAGGAAGATCCTGAACTCCTCTCCTCCCACAGACACACCAGATGTACAGCTACAAATGAACAGTTTCCTCTGAAAACCAAAGCTGAGGGACTCCTAACATCGGGCAAACAACTCGCACTGACGTGTTTAGGAAAGGCAGAGATGCAATCTTGCCGAAAACCCCACCCCCAGCATTGGAAATCCAGAGCTTCTCAGGGAGGAGTGAAGGGTTTGAACCCTACATCGGGAACCCCAACTTCTAAGACCTACCGCTGAGAGATAAGCCCCTGAGACTTACAGCTTTGAAAGCCCACAGGGTTTGCATCCCTGAGACCCAAAAGGCTATCGTGCAAACTGAGAAATGGCTGTTGAAGGGCTCAGGCCCCTGGACTCACCGGCACCAGGGCCCAGTGCAGAAGCGGCCAGACTTTACGTGAGGGCAGCTTCTTTACCTATCTTAAAGCATCGGCCTGAGAGGCAGGCATCTAATTCAGCACACATCTAGGGGCCTGCCGGCATACTCTCCAAGGACGGAGGCCAGTAGACACTTTAAAAAAAATTCTTTTTAATCCAGGCTCCTTCTTTTTTTCCCCCAGCAGGCATCATCTTTATGCCCTCCCTCTGCTGCCCTCCAGAGCACCAGCATCTCCCAGAGGGGAGCTGTTACATGCACCTGGTATTGGTTTTATACCGGGTGTCTCCGTTTTCGCAACTGCCACCCAGTGTGAACGCCCCTTGGGTCACCTGGCTCTGGAGGCCAGCAGCGCCTGCATTCTGGGGACCCACAAGACTGTAACAATTGGAGAGACAGTTCATGGCCAGCTAACACCACGGCAATATCTGCCCAGTCTTCCTGTGATAAAGGACTGTTGTGCTTGTCCTGGAGCTTCGGCCTGAGGGGCAGGCTTCTGGCTTGGCACACGTCCGGAGGCCCATTGACGGACTCTCGGGGAAGGGAGGCTGGTGGACATCATGCTTGCCCTCTTTCCCTGCCTCATTCCGGCTTGTCAGTATCTCCCAGAAAGGAATTCAGACCCTCATCGGGTGCCCCGATTCTTGCAGGTGCTGCAAGGTGACATCTCTAGACCACCTGGCCATGGTGGCCGACCGGCTAATGAGTCACACAGGACTGTCACCAACAGAGAAAGAGTTTTTGACTACCATTTCCAGAGCAAAGCAAGAGGCAATGGTCCGAAGAGCCCAAACTTTCTGTGAAAGAGGCCTATTAGCTAATCTCCATGGCTACGTCTGAGGGATAGACTTGCAATCAAACACACATCTAAGGGCCGACTGCAAACCTTTCCGGAGACCTCAGACGGCTATCTTTCTGTTCTCTTTCTGCCGTGCTCCAGTATCTCCCAGAGGGGAGCTTGTACAACGTCCGGTGCCCCGTTTCTACATCTGCAGCCTTGTTTTCTGCAGCTACCACCTCACGGATGCCCCTTAACTGCTCCGCTCTGGTGGCCAGCAGGGTCGGCATCCCTGTATCCCGTACGACTGACTGCCACAAATGGGCAGACAGTCTCTGGCCTGCTGCAAACCCCAGGGCACAATACAGACTGAAACACACCCCCATTCTTCCTGTGAGAAGGGACTATTTGCGTGTCCTGGAGCTTTCGACCGAAGGGGCTGGCTTTTGGTTTGACATACGTCTAGAGACCTACTAAGATGCTGTACTTAGCCGGTAAGTCAGTAGATGCCGCCCTGTGCCCTCCATCTGCCTTGCCTCAGATAGCTGGTATCTCCCAGAAAGGAGCTCATATAGTTGCCTGGCACCCTAATGTTTGTGACTGACGCTCAGGGTGCCCAGCCTAGGTAGCTGGCAGGACCTAATGCTTGCAGTCCTATAGGCCTGTATATATTTGTATACTTTAAAAGCTGCTGCCTGACAGTCTGA